TTTGTATAAGTTTCCCCGTATAACTAGAAATCGTAATGACACGATTGCAAACAAACCATACCACAGGCAGGGATAAAACCCTTTGCGATCAGTCATAAAATCCAGACCGATGCATTAGCCACTGGGCCAGCTGGCTACAATAATTCATCCAACTAGGTATATTTATACAGTTATATATACCTAGTTGGATGAATCTTATTGTAGCCACTGGCCCAGTGATTAACGTGTCGGTCTGGAGTTTTACGACTCTGATCATGCGTTCTATCCCCGCCCGTGGTATGGTTTCTCAAGTATAGTTTCAGTTGGATTCACTGTGTTGGATTTCTTGCCATTAACCCTTAAACTATCCAAACGTAGATCTACGTTGACGTGCGTAGCGCTCCGAACGTAGATCTACGTTTTTTTTACATGCTCTCAAATGGAGAAAATAAAGGTCAGAGTGCTACCCACGCAAACGTAGATCTATGTTTGGACAGTTTAAGGGTTAATAATGTCACTTCTATCTACCATTACAGTACATTTGGTTTGAATTTGTTTATAAAATTTTTTTTTTTTTTTAATTTTTTTTTTAATTTGAGGCCTTGAAAATTAGAGTAATGGCAGATATGAGAGTAATTTTGCTTAATTTAGATTACTTGATTGATTAAACACAACCATAATATATTATTATATTTTGAAAAAAGTACTAAATGTGAATGGTTTATGTATATTTAGAATAAGTACATACTGCAATTTCACAAACTTGTTTGGCATTCCATAAGCAAACAAATAGCTTACAATTATATTATTACATTGAAGGGGAGGGGAATGGACAAGCACTAAATCTATGGAGGACACACAACACCTGAGAGAATTGTGAACAGTACTTAGTGTATCCATCAAAGGAGGTTCCTTGATGGGAAGGGGCTCTTGATCCAAGGAATTGTACCTGACTTCTCCTAACTTGGATTGTACCTGATTACCTTTGGTGTTGTATGACTCTTGTGGATTTAGTGCTCTCCATGAATAAATATTTTAATTTGGCAGCTATCCCCAGTCAGGGCAGGATGATCTAAAGAAAAAATAAATCATTCACCATCATTCATTAACCCTTAAACTGTCTAAACATAGATCTACGTTTGCGCGCGTAGCACTCCGACCTTGATTTTCTCCATAGGAAACAATGTAATAAACAGATAGATCTCGTTGGACAGTTAAGGGATAAATTGCCACTTTCCAAAGTGTGCTGACAGAGAAGATCAGGCCTCTGACTGCAGTATTGCGCCTTCCTCCGTGTGCAGGCACTTCCCTTTTTCTACTTCTGGACTCAAGTCAAGCTAACTGGTTTCCCTGAATGCTTTATGAGTTACCTTGCCTACAGTCTTAACAGCATATCACATTAAACACCACTTGCCTTGATTCACTCCTATCAAACATACACAAGCCTGCTGATGCTCAGGCACCTGAAACTCAAAGCTTCTTTTTAACCCTTTCAGGGTTGAGAGGCCCTCTCCTAAACTTGTTCTCAGGGTCGAAAATTTTTCAGGAAAAAAAAAAAATTCCTTATGAAAAGATAGAGAATCTTTTCCCGATTATAATTACACCAAATTATAAAATTTGATGGAAAACTTATGGAATTATACTCTCGCGAAGTTAGCAGTCTCGACAGTGTTTACACATTGGCGATTTTGCCAACTTTGAGCCCTATTTTCGGCCAATTTCGGTTGTACTAGTAGACAAAAATCATAACTATTTCGCTAGAACTCCATTTTGACTATTGAATGAGTACAAGAAACCACCCATTTACCAATTTCAACTATCCAATAAAGTGGTCAGAAATTAGCAATTTTGCCCAATTTCACACAAATTTCAAAACATGCCAATTTCCAAATAGGGTCTAGAATAAACAAGACAGACATTCCTGGCACTAAAAAAAACATTTTCTCTGTTCACTAGTCACGTCCCCAGGCCCTCTTACATTTCTTTTGCTTCCACAGTGTAAAGTCGCTTTTTTTAACCAAAGACACCGTCAAATTTTTTTTTTTTTTTCTCATTAGACACTGGTGCTGCAGGATTTTTTTTTATACTGTGCCCCACTGACCACATAGACCCATTCTTTCATATGTAGGCCTACCAGCTTTCCCTCGCTAGATTTAAAGGGCGCTAGAATTTGGCATACTAGTAAGTCAATAACCTGGTGCGTAAGCCGCACTAGTACGTCGGAAACCCTGAAAGGGTTAACCCCCTCCCTCTAACTGTTCCTGGGATGATCTCTGTCCTTCCTACCATCCCCCCAGTTTTATATGCCCCATTGTCACCCTTTCTTTCTCCAGCTTCTCTACATCCCCAAACCACCTCAATAATAATTAAAATAGATTTTTTTTTCAACAAACCGGCCAGCCCCACTGAGGCAGGGTGGCCCAAAGAAAAACAAAAGTTTCTCTTTTTAAATTTAGTAATTTATACAGGAGAAGGGGTTACTAGCCCTTGCCCCCGGCATTTTAGTCGCCTCTTACAACACGCATGGCTTACGGAGGAAGAATTCTGTTCCACTTCCCCATGGAGATAATGGAAATTTAACAAGAGCAAGAATAGTAAGAAAACAGAATAAAACCCAGAGGGGTTGTGTATACATATATATATATATATATATATATATATATTATATATACAGTGGACCCCCCCCATAACGATCACCTCCGAATGCGACCAATTATGAAAGTGTATTTATGTAAGTGCGTTTGTACGTGTATGTTTGGGGGTCTGAAATGGACTAATCTACTTCACAATATTCCTTATGGGAACAAATTCGGTCAGTACTGGCACCTGAACATACTTCTGGAGTGAAAA